GGACAGTATGCAAGTCATTTCATAAGTTCAATATTAAATTATTAACCATTTGCGATCCTCTATATAGAAAGTGATCAACTGAGGAATTTAAATTACAGAATTGTCAATAACTGTTTGTGTTATATATATATATATATATATATATATATATATATATATATATATATATATATATATATATATATATATATATATATATATATAATTATATACATCTCCCTGTTGCGCTGTGGTACGAATCATTATGGCAAAATGGGAGTTCTTAATATAATGGATTGCAAGAACCATCAACATTTGTATGGCTGGCTCAGTTAATAAATTACTGAATCACTCTAGGGCATTCTTCTCAATTTTGTCTTTATGTTCTGGCACAATTATAAAATTATTCGAAAATCCTAGAGTATTTTTAACACAAATTAAGAGAAAATACTGACTGGATGATGTTGTGTATAAAATATTTAAAGAAGAGCTGGAAAACTTATACATTTAAATATGTTCTTCTAATCATGGTCTGGTGTCTTGAGATCAGAATGCTTCTGAAACTCTTGTAAACTTTCATTTATTGCTATCTAGTGTCGCTTTCATTTGAATATATGACACACTAAAACAAATTTACAGAGGATTTCAAATTAGTAGCGATTTAATATTGAATTCATGAAACGAGGTGAATAAGGTTTAGCTTTAGGCGAGCAAAAGCTAGACATTATTTAACGAGTTTCATAAATTCAATATTAAATCATTACCCATTTGAGATTCTTTTTATCACATATTTTTATTTCAGTAGAAATTATTTAGATAGAAAGAAGAAAGAATAATTTTGTTCATTTTAAGAGAAGCCGTATCTTTCATTTGTTGTGCGTAAAAAAAGACCCAAACAAAGTTGAAATAGTATATTATACATTATCCATAACTATAGATAAAAAATAATCGTGCTTCAAAATAAAGAGAACATTTTACAAAAGACAAAACATTTGTCAACACAAAATGTCCAATGCGTGTGATGTCACAATGTTTGATACGGTGCACAGTACTGGTTTGAGTTGGCCTACTAAACATTGTTGCGATATATTTGTGAAAAGATAATTACTGGATTCAGAAATACACATATTTGCTGTAATATATTTTGTGACCGGATATTTGCATTATTTGATTTAGAATATTAGATTCTATAGAAGACGTAAACAAATCTCTTTCTGAGTCAGACTTCCATTACATCTTTACCGCGTAAATATGTTGTGGTTGGATAATGTTTAGTGAGTTTGAGAGACCGATTTATGTCTCCATTCTTCTGAGAAGAAAGGTGATTAGTATTTACTTCAGTAAGTTCATATTTATACCAAGCTTTTATAAGTGGTGGATTCCATGCTACATAACAACCGCCCATCCATCCTCATCTCCACCCTCATTATCATATGAGCAATACAGGTAGTTTTAGTTGTTGCTTTTGTCTTGGGGAGTTTTGCCATTTTTCATGTTATGATATGTTATACGTGACATAACAAACTCCTGTTAAGGTAAATTAGCAATATTGAAACCGATGAGACCAATTTTCCCAATTCCCTTTGGAATAAATAAATAATAGCCAAAATCTTCAATGAAAACATAAAATTCTAGAAGGAGGGGTTAAAAAAGTTTTCCCTCGATCCAACCAGTCAATGAAGAGAATACTGCAAAATAATTTCATGGGCTTATTTGGATCACACAGATTCACATAAAGGTATATGTTCGCACGTATAATATCAAAACTATTAAACTGCACACATATACGAACTATTTGATAAAAGCAGTATGCCAAAAAACAATTCGCTATTATATATAAATATTTGAACTGCTATCTAAAAAGATTACAGATAAGAACTTCAATACTTGTTCAATCTGTTCGAAAATAAATTTGGTAGGAGCAAATTACAGGCAAGTTTACAACATATTTGTATATCAAAATATATAATAATATTAAAATGTATTGATCAAGAAAATATAACACAATTATAACTGACTCGTTTATAAATTCAGGTATAGCGCAGACTTTACTGATGTAACAATCACGATCCGTTTGAATTGTTTCCATGAATTTGAACAGCATATGAAGAGTATTATCATTAGAAAAAGTGGACAATTTGGTTGTGTAAAGGTAGTCAGATTCAGAGAGAACTGGGCACAGAGAATTTTTCTATAAAATAAGCCTTATAAACATTATGGACAGAGATAAAATGGAAGATTTTACTTAATGATTATTAGAAAGCTTACATATCAACTTTTGCATGATATTAAATAATAAGTCTGCTTAATATTATCAAGCATTCCTCTTTAGTATCCATGGATTCATTTTCCGTTCTCTTTGGTGTATATTTGTAATTCTCAATAATTAATTATATACAGCTTAATTTCTTTCGTAGTAATCCAGAATGACTGTGTAGATAAATGAGGTTTAATTGTTGGGTCGCCATTTGAGTGTGTCTGCTACTCACAAAGTCATGTGACAACAGCATCATTTTTGTGGTGATTTGTGCTTACTCATGATGAAAGATGGACTGGTGAGTACAGGCAAGGCGATGGGTGCCATTAATCGCGAATCTGAGTTCAAATCTCCGTAGTTTACAAATACAAATGATATAACCTGTATGATAGCTATATATATATATATATATATATATATATATATATATATGAAACGGTACATTGGTTTGAAGAAAACCAAATCCATAAATCAAATGTATAGTCTATCGCCTACAAAAACTGTCTTAAGTCTTTTGAATATTCGAGTCCAATGCTACTGTCTTCGTCATCGTCATCGTCTTCGTTGTAATTGCTGCATCTAAGAATGATAACTGCATTTTTTGGGGTGTGGTGGGGTGGGGTGGCAATGCATGTTTTCGTCTTCTGAAATTTGAAAAAGATGTTTCTTACATCGACCCATCTCTATATGGTCTTCTAGGATAAGACTATGTAAGGGTATGTGATAGCAAGGATCACATACACCTACACTGCACCGCCATCCGTTTTGCATGCAGTGGTGAGTGTTACATTATACAATTTTTTGTTCGTGAAGAAAAGTTTTAATCGGTAACGGCCTTAGCAAACGTGGGGCCTGATTTGAATTATTTTGTTGACGCCCCATGTACGCCCAGTGAGCACGGCATTTGGAAATTAACTTTTAAAGAAATTTTATGTTATACTGAACTAAACATGTTTCATCACTTTAAAATTACGTTCTCTTTATAGATATATATTTTAAACATTACTGATGCGCTGATACCCTGTGATCTCAGGGCCAAATAGGCCCCGTCGACCTAAGACCAGACCCAGTGTTAGTGATCGTTACGACTGGATACTATATATCCCATTTCCACTGTTTAATTTGTAGGTATGTCGTTGATTGTAAGAGTGTGTGTTTGATTTATCCTCGGATATCCACATTCCATCTATCATGGAATTGTGTGCAGTTAAAAAGTATAAATTATACACGAAATTAAATGTGCTCGGGTTTCGTTTCCGTGTACAACTTTGCCCGTGAGAAATTTAAGTCCTACATCATTTCAAACTATTGAGTTCAGTTAGCCACATGCTGCACGAGCAAAGGTGTTATAATGAGAAAACCATTAACTTTAAGCTCTCTGGCCATGGATTGCACTATAACCAGGTTACTTATAGTTCCAAGTCAGTAGTGGCTCTTTGTCTCTCCGTCGAGAGCGGCGGGACTAAAGATACTTTGTGGTCGTCAACTGGACGCCACAAGATATATTTTCCGTACTTAATTATTCTGTATGACGATCTGAATGAAAATAAAAAAAACAATACCTTTGGTATTACTATATGAGCGAAAATAAAATATATTGGTGTGTATTATACTTGCGGATCAAAACTACTCTTATTTTTGAAGAACTTTCATACATTGATCGCCCTGTGTAAACACAATCATACATCGGTTATAATTGTACCTTTAGTGGTAGATTGAGCATTGATAGCTTATCGTTTAAATTTCTAATACTGATCACCCATGTTGCTAGATCCATAATTCAATCATTATTGATAAGTTATATTCAATGATTATTATCCGTCACTCGTTCAAGTTATATGTTCTAATTCGCCACAGTTAGGAACGATGTCATTTCCTTTTATCATTTATTTAAAACAGTCCATTATTTTGTCAAATCCATCGTTGGATATTATGGGATGGAGCTGGGTATCAGATTCTTTCATTTTTCAATCACATTATTAATAAACGTATCATTCACTTAATTGCTTTCAGTGTCGTCTCTATAATTCTAATCGTAACCCGGATAATCCGGTTGCACCATCATCTGCTCTATTTTAAAGGTCAGTGTTGAAATGTAATTAAGAATATTAGTTATCACCCATAAATTCGCCCCCCCATTTCATTTTTTATATGCAAGTGTTGAATAAAACTGTTAACTCGTCATTCCACTTAAACCATTCCACACTCTACATTTTTAAACCAACTTTCATATTTATATTCTAAGTAAATAAACAATTTCCAAACCGAATGAGAATAGTTAAAATACATGCGGAACTTTATTTTGTTGCTGCCACACTGAAAAAGAACGTGCTTACTAGGAAGTTATCTACAAATTTCACTTCCCCGTCAGCTTCTTGTAGTCAATATTAAACTCCATTTGAACAACGTATGTACATTTGAATCATGTGTAAAAAAAATGTATGAACACTGATTTTTTTTTAAAAAAATCCGTATCATTTGCAAGCCTTGGTTACTTTTATACGGAGACGTTTATACACAAACATATGCATACACATACATACATACATACATACATACATACATACATACATACATACATACATACATACATACATACATACATACATACATACATACATACATACATACATACATACATATACATGCAAACACATAAGCATATATATATATATATATATATATATATATATATATATATATATATATATATATATATCTATATATATATATATATATATATATATATATATATATATATATATATATTGTGGCCAGAGTGGTAAGAGCATCCTCCTCGGATGCGGAAGGTAGCGGGTTAAAACCCCGGCTGAATTATACTAAACAACAGCTGCCTCGCTAGGAATTCAGCATTAAGAGGTGAGTTTTATAATAGTCGGCATAGTATCAGAATAATAAGTGTCGGTGGGACATGATGGTACATGATGACTCAGTTCTTATAATTGCTTGCATACAATTGTTTTTTATAATTTGCATTAATATTTGAAGAAAAATTCAGTCAGCAAGGAATCCGCAATAAAATAAAATCGGAAAAAAGAAATACACGAGCAAACACTGTACTTATTTGAATTTCAAAGTGCGCTAGAACATTTTATTTGTAAATTGCTTCCAGACTTAATAAACAGTGGCACTGGTGAGGGGGTGGGGGTGGCTGGTATAAATCCTAGTATTTGGTACGCCATTGAGTAACACAGAAAACAATGGTGAATAGTAAATTATGTTTCTGTTCTAAGATTTATTAAATGAATTTCAAAAAGTGTGGTAAATTCCGTTTGGGAATCAGGAATTTCATTAATGATATCATACAAATACAAATTAAAGTATTCAACACATCTAGCAAATCAAAATGCATTAATATGTGATAAAAATATACACATCAAATGCAGATATAAATGAAATTAAAAGAAGCAATAAGGAATTTTAAAGGAAGAAAATGGTATGTGTTGTTGTCTTTCTAATTCGGATGTTAACTAAATATATATATATATATATATATATATATATATATATATATATATATATATATATATATATATATATATATATATATATATATTTACATTTAAAAGAGAGAAAAATGTCAATCTTCAACATATATAGCTCATATCATATAGGTCTCTGTTTGAATACATTTCATTTTTTAAGTGTTCTACGATCTAAAGTCTGAACGAGTAACAATCGTAATGAGGTGAAACTAGTTAATTAGTTCCGACCATTTCGAACTACTTTAACAAATGCTAGGTGACTCCGGATGAATACACTTCTATGTGTTTGTTAAGCAGTCTCCATCTCCCTATTTTAAAAGCCCCTGTACAAAGGCCAGACCAAAGAGAACGTGTTTCTTGTGGTACTGGAGCGATTTATGTCCCTCTATTCTTGTGCATTTTGAAGACAATGTGTAAATCATGGGATACGTCCCATCCAATCGAGTGAGCAAAATGTTGTGGGACAGAGATTGGAAACTTGGAGATTTGATTGGGCATTGCCTGTGATGTAAATACTTGTTTCCAGAATGTTGATCCTCAAACATTTCCCTACCTTTTTGTGGATGGTTCTGGGGTTAAGTGGTGTGTGCAAGTACTTACAGTTGAAAACACTTTTTGCAAAAATGCATGACATGTTGCAACTTTCTGACTGTTTGCGCAAATCTCTTAACTCCTCGTACAACTTTCAAGACTGTAACTTAGGACCTAGGAATATAATGGGGGGGGGTGGATCTAGAATATAATGGGGGGATCTAGCGATTAGATAAAAGCTTCAAAATGTATATGGAATCCCTCGGGTGTGGTGACTTAGTGTAAAATGTGTAGCAGCCTTGTAAGATTTAGGACAGAATTTCCAGTATGTATGTATGTATGTATGTATGTATGTATGTATGTATGTATGTATGTATGTATGTATGTATGTATGTATGTATGTATGTATGTATGTATGTATGTATGTATGTATGTATGTATGTATGTATGTATGTATGTATGCATGCATGCATGCATGCATGCATGTAAGTATGTATGTATGTATGTATGTATGTATGTATGTATGTATGTATGTATGTATGTATGTATGTATGTATGTATGTATGTATGTATGTATGTATGTATGTATGTATGTATGTATGTATGTATGTATGGATGCATGCATGCCTCCTGCCTGCCTGCCTGGTGGATGCACGTAATAACAAAAGACTACATGACATTTTCTTAGAATATACACTAGAGAATGGATACCTGATGCGATTCTGATACAGATGTATTTCATCAATACAAATAGTTACCATGAATGGAAACCTCATAGTTTCCACATTGTGCAATAAATTTCTAATTAAAGTCAGCCAAAATGTTTAAATAGTTAATCTAAATAAGCACTTAGAATATATATATATATATATATATATATATATATATATATATATATATATATATATATATATATATATATATATATATATATATACAATTGCTCTGAAATACATATACTCTGCAAAAAAAACTCCGTTTATTAGCACAACCAAAGAAAACTTGTGGTGGAAGGAACTTGTGTTCCGTGGCTTCTCGAGCAACTAACAATTAACCAAGCATAGCCGAGAGAGGACATTATACCACTGTAATTAGAGGACATGTATGTGTTAAATGTAAACTGGCGGTTAGCATGCCATGTTGTCTATGATTGCCGGGACATAATGGATGTGACAATTGTTATGTTTCTTCTTTTAGCTATCACGTATGGTAAGTTTTGCATTTCATTTAGTTGATGTAGAATGGACGACTGAATTATCCTATTTATTTCGATGGGAACTTATTATATGTTGTTAATTGTACATTTTTAGGTTAGAATGCACGGCCTTTTAAACCCCAACTATAATAGTCTCTACCGTGACTATATAAGCTTTAGAAGAAGACAATAAATATTATAATACACATTTGAAGATAATGATTGTTTTGCTAAAACTTTCATTGTTCAACTAAGCTGAAATCCAACAAAACTTATAATCATATCAATGATTTGTAGAAGAGTGCATTTGGTCCAGGTTATGTTAAAAGATAATATGTGAATTTTAGAAATATTTTTTTACATTATTATTTATGAGAGAGAGAGAGAGAGAGAGAGAGAGAGAGAGAGAGAGAGAGAGAGAGAGAGAGAGAGAGAGAGAGAGAGAATTACAAATATCATCAATATTAATTGCCTGCCACCAAAATGATATTTTTCATCTGTTTTAGAACTGCTCCGGTGGCCTAGAGGTTAGAGCGTCCACCTCGGATGCGGAAGGTCGTGGGTTCGAATCCCGGCCGAGTCATACCAAAGACTTTAAAAAATGGTACTAACAGATGCCTCACTTGGCGCTCGGCATTAAAAGACTAGTGTTAGGACTGGTTGGCCTGGTGTCTGGATTATGTGACTAGGTGGGACATTATGCTATATGTCTGCGGCATGATGCCCCAGGGCTATATATCACTATAAATTGAAACACTGCAGACATCGTAGCGATATGTCTGAGAAATTGTTAAAGCTATGTTAAAATCTAAATCACACGCACACCTCATCCGCTTTTGTATTCTTAAATTAAGTGACATGATATAGTGAACAATTGCGTTTAATTGTGCTGTTGATTTCTATACTGCGAAGGTAATCGATAATGAAACTATTAATTTTAAAGTAGTTTTGGGCCGGGTACATATTTTGTTTAATGGTGCTAGTGTTTAGTTCTGCAATTGATAAATGTCTGGTTTCGTTGAAGTTTAGATCTAGAGTTGATAAATGTGTGATTTCGTGAGGTTTTGATCTAGAGTTTATAAATGTGTAGTTTCGTTGAGGTTTAAATCTAGAGTTGATAAATGTGTGGTTTCGTTGAGGTTTAGATCTAGAGTTGAGAAATTTCTGGTTTAGTTGGGATTTACTTCTGGATCTGATAAATAAGTTGATTAATGGCAAATGGAAAAACCTATGCCAATGATACCTTTGTTGCGTACAAGGAAAAAAACATATTCCATGCTATAGTGTTGTTCAGCCGTTGACCTCGTGTGACGTCACGAATCACTACCTCATACCTAAAAATAGAATGTAGCCCCCATCTTCGGACAAACATTACAATATGACGGCTAAGTACCATTATATTTTATTGACAGAAGATGATGTTCCTGGTTGTAAATTATCATTTGCTTGACAGAAAATCACTCAGTGGTGCACTGAAACGATGGTTACAGTGCAGAGATCTCGGCATCAGTGGAAATATAAGCAATTTGATCAAAAGATATGTAAAATTCAGTGTGCATATACTACATGCATTCAATGCTTCCAGTAAAGCGGTTAAGTAGAACGTTCATCGTGCATATATAATGTCTTTCCCAAAAGAAACAAACAGACAAAAATAAGTAAATCGACCACCAGAGCATCACTACAATTTCGCTCTAAGTGTAAGAGGTGTCTTAATTTGTAAAAGAAAAAGTTCCTTGTATTGAAAATAAGAGCAGCAATGCAGGGTATCACCCCATTGCAATTCATTAGCTCAAAGGCGCAAAATATTATCTTTTAATCGGATATGAGATCAAAGATATGTAACCCTGATCTCTTTAAAGATCTCCGTATCGCTCCCTTATGTGCCTGTAGTATTTCTGTATTAAGAGGCAATTAAATGATGAATTAGTTTGTTCTGTAATTCTGGGTATTTTTTCTCTCAGTTAAGATCACAGGGAATTTCCGAGGTGTGTGGCATGAAAATAAAATTTTAAATGGTTAATTTATTGTACTCTGTTATTGTTATTATTATATATATATATATATATATATATATATATATATATATATATATATATATATATATATATATATATATATATAGACGCAATAAACTGACGACGAACAGTACGAAACTAGTAACTAACTAGCCTAAGCGCTTTCGACTCTTAATGAGTCTTTTTCAAAGGCAAATACAAAACATAGTTACGACAAACAAATAAACACAAAAACGTTGCGTTTGTAAACCTCTACATTTCTATCTTCACATGTGCTAAAACTATAAATACAACCAGCTTGTATAGACTAGTTGCGGAAACTGAAAACGTTGTATAATTCCCTAAAAGTCTACAAGCCAAAGCGACATCTATTTTTACTTTGTGTACATATGTAACGCAGATTATATCCCGGATATTTGGTTCTATACCGGTTATTCTTATAGTAAAAATTGAAGGATAAGAAGATTTAGAAAATGTTAAATTCTACTAGTGCATAGTTTTCATTTTCTAGTCTTCTTGGTTTAGACCGCTTGGTTTCAATGTTCTAAGGCGGCGTATCCAGCATGATTCCTTTTCCTTCCTGGTTTCGGA